ATAATTGAAAGACTCACTGGGGATGTACTGCTCAATTAGGTCATCATCGTTGACTAATCGAGCTTCTTTTTTGTTTTTGGCTTTTTCCTTTCTCTTTTTTTTGGCAGCTTTCACAATTTCTATATTCTCTTCTTCTTGAATTGGATCTTCTTTTTCTGTATCTGATGCTCCTTTATCAAAAGAATGTGCACCTTCATTTATATTTAAAGATGAATCTTCAAAAATGGTATCACCAAACGTAGGAGGAGAAAATCTCTTGCCTTTCATTGCAATAGTAACCTCATGATGAGAGGCTAAAATATAAGATACTATAAATTAAATAACTGTATTTAGAAATAAAAATGTTTAAAAAAAAAAGTATCTCGCGATATACACACACACACACACACACACACACTCAGACACACACACACACACACACACACACACATATATATATATATATATGAAATTAATGGATACTAACCTGCAGCAAATAAAACAAAGCATTTCTTTTTTTTTTTAGATGAGGGATATCTCACAAAAAAATGGGCATTTTTATATGTTTTCTTAATTTTCTTGTTATGATTGTAAGCCTCAAAATCAAATTTCTTTATATAACTGACAGGAACTACATCTTTGATGCCAGAATCACCAGTTTTATCAGGCAATATATAGATTAAAGCGTATGGTTCGCTGTTATCTTCACTCATATTTATTGTATTATTTCAATAATAACTTCGATCAATTATTTTCGCTCATTCAGTAGAGGCATGAACCTGTTTGAACCAATATGGATAAATTGAATAAAACTATATATATAAATCTCTTGAAAAAAGAGTATCAAAAACATTTTATTTCTGAATAAAGTTATTTAATTTATAATTCTTATTTTATATATTAGAAGGTTACATTTTTAATTACAATGTAAATTAAATTATAGAAATGGTTATTGATAAAAACTTAGAACCAGTTTAAAAACTTGAATATTATTTCTAAAAATCATCATTAATAATGTATCAGCCTATGTTGTCAAAAAATTAATATTTTAATTTTAAATTACTATGAAAGTGCCTTTTTGTAAATAGTGGAAATAATGTCAAAGATATCTCCTAAAATATAAGATGATAATAACAAATTGTTTGAACTATTTTTTTTAATCAGTTATACAAGATCATATTATTACATTTCAGAAATGGTTATCGATACAAACATAGAACCCATTTCATAACTTGAATGTAATTTTTAAAAATCATTAATAATAGTATTGCAGGCAATGATGTCACCAACTATTTAGATTTCAATTATGTACTATCCTTAGGTGCATTTTGTAAATATAATGAAATCAATCGTTTCACAGTTATCAACTATATCATCCTTATTTTCATAAGGTTCAAACCATGCACATAACTATTATTTCATTGGTTTTCCTCTTACCTCAGTCATACAGTGTGCAAATAATCAATAAGTATGCATCTCGTAGAGAATACGTGAGAGATTACATATCACTATACTGCTTCGATTTCCACCTTCTCCCTTCCTTATACAGGCATCACAATATAAGACTAGTAGCCTCTTCTTGCTCCATAATACTCCATCCATACGCCAAGATCAATTAAAAAGCTATTCAACAAAAACTCAAGTAATTATGAACTTGAGTACCGGTCACGCTTACTTCAGATGGGTAATTACAATGGTAACCTCCTAATATAAAAATAGAATCATAAATTAAACTAATTCTTTTTATCAGTTATACGCAATGAGTTGATTAATTTAGAGAAATGATTATCAATAGAAATTTAACACCAATTTAATAATTTGAATATAATAATAAAAATCATTAATAATAATGTTGCGGGAAATGTTGTCTCCAACAATTTAGATTTCAATTTTGTATTATATTTAAGTGCATTTTGTAAATAATGAAATCAACCGTGTCACAGTTATGAACTATATCATTTTTACTTTAATAGTGTCTATATCATGCACATAACTAATATTTCACTGGTTTTCCTCTTACCTCAGTCATTCAGTGTGCAAATAATAACTTGCATTGCTCAAGATGACATAAACAAAACTGCGTATCAGCGCATGTCCCTTTACTTATAAGGTTGGGTACGCCGCCTCTCTTGTTTTTTGCCCAAGATAAAAAAACTAAATAACAAATACTCACGAACAAGTCTGAATTTGAGTGCTGGTCACGCTTATGTAATTACGGTGTATAATTACAAAAGTATTCTAAAATATAAAATAAAAATTATAATAATCAATTAAGCTAATTTTTTAATCGGTTGTAGACGATCATATGAAAAAAACCGAACCAATTTAATAATTTTAATAGTATTTTGAAACATCGTTAAGAATAATTCAGCATGTTCCAATTATTTAGATTTCAATTTTGTATATCACTGATTTTAAATGCATTTTGTAAATACAGAAATTATAGGTTTCACGGTAACAACTATATCATTCTCATTTTCATGTCGTATATATAATGCACATAAATATTATCCAATTACTTTTTCCTTACACTAGAGAAACAGAAGTCAAAGTTCAGTCAGTACGCAGCGACATGTACAGAAGTGCAATCTTTGTTCGTCTCGTCTGGTGGAATGCATATTACAATTTGCACGCTGAATTACTGAGGTAAGGAAAATGACTGAACTTTGACTTCTGTTTCTCTAGTGTAAGGAAAATGTAATTGGATAATATTTATGTGCATTATATATGCGACATGAAAATGAGAATGATATAGTTGTTACCGTGAAACCTATAATTTCTGTATTTACAAAATGCACTTAAAATCAGTGATATACAAAATTGAAATCTAAATAGTTGGAGCATGCTGAATTATTCTTAACGATGTTTCAAAATACTATTAAAATTATTAAATTGGTTCGGTTTTTTTCATATGATTGTCTACAACCGATTAAAAAATTAGCTTAATTAATTTATAATTTTTATTTTATATTTTAGAATACTTTTGTAATTATACACCATAATTACATAAGCGTGATCAGATCTCAAATTCAGACTTGTTCGTGAGCATTTGTTAATTAGTTTTTTTATCTTGGGCAAAAAACAAGAGAGGCGGCGTACCCAACCTTATAAGTAAAGGGACATGCGCTGATACGCAGTCTTGTTTGTGTCGTCTTGAGGAATGAAAGTTATTATTTGCACACTGAATGATTGAGGTAAGAGGAAAACCAGTGAAATAATATTTATGTGCATGATATAGACACTATTAAAGTAAAAATGATATAGTTCATAACTGTGAAACGATTGATTTCATTATTTACTAAATGCACTTAAATGTAATACAAAATTGAAATCTAAATAGTTGGAGACAACATTGCCCTCAACATTATTATTAATGATTTTTATTATTATATTCAAATTATTAAATTGGTGCTAAATTTCTATCGATTATAATCATTTCTTTAAATTAATCAACTGATTGTGTATAACTGATAAAAATAATTAGTTTAATTTATGATTCTTTTTTTATATTAGAAGGTTACCATTGTAATTACCCATCTATGAAGTAAGCGTGACCGGTACTCAAGTTCAGAATTGCTTGAGTTTTTGTTGAATAGTTTTTAACTTGATCAACTCATATGCAGTCTTGGTCGTCTCGTCTGGTGGAATGCATATTACAATTCGTAAACTGAATTACTGAGGTAAGGAAAATGTAATAGAATAATATTTATGTGCATCATATAAACGTTGCTGAATATTTATGTTTCAAGTTTGTGATACACGTCGTATAATGCCTTTCAAAAGAGGTCCTTACAAGTCTTATTATTCAAAAAATTCATATACAAATGTACCAAGATCAACATTTTATGACAAGATTAAAAGAGACTCGATTAATCAAAAAGATAAGTCAACAGAAGATCGACATGAGAGTTATTCAGAGTCGCCTTCAAATGTATGCTTTGAAGAGGATAAAATTGATAATGTCCAATTAAAAGATAAATTACCAGTAAGCATCAATAACATTGTATGAATTGTTTAAATTTTCAATATCACTGTATTACACATTTAAAATACCTTAGGACTTATCGAATCCAATACATTCATTTGAGTGAAAGAGTAATTCCGAAAATGACAATAGAACCGCGGGTGTAACATATGAGGTGAATAATTTTATATAATTTGGTACTTTTTAAAGTTCAAATTAAAAGCATAATAAATATTGCAATAAGTATAAATTATTTTATATAAAATAGTAAATTTTGTTTCGTAATTCAAATTTGTAGCCTCCACTCAATTCAAGATTATCTCAAGATCAAAAACGTAATAGTGTATTAAATAATACTATTTGCCCATGCAGTGCCATTCATATTGGAGAAGTATTATTGATATTCATGAATATCATGAAGAAACATTCATTAACATGGATTGCAATAATAGATATATTTTCAGCTTTAAATTTCATTTTTATGAAAAATATGTTTCCAGTTACAAAATATATGATAAAGTATTTAATGAATGTGAATAGTGGTGCATTAACACATCATATTATATGCAATGAATGTAACAGATATTTAGGAGTTTTCTCATGTAACTCGTACTATACAATATGAATGCCATAATACAGTTTCACCTTCGTCTATGGGATCATATTTTTTAGAAGTAGATATAGAAAATCAGATACAAAAATTATTTTCTAATTCAACTATAATAGATAGACTTAATGAACGATTTAACAGAAGAAAAAAATGTAACACTAATTTGGAAGATATTTTTGATGGATCTCATTATTACAAATGTCGTGAAAATATAATGAAGAGCAAATGGGACTTATCGTATACATTCAATACTGATGGATGTCAACCTGCTATGAAATCTAAGGTGACTGTATGGCCTATATTTTTAATGATTCATGAGCTGCCAGATTATCTACGAAAAAAATGTATGCTGTTAGCGGGTTTATGGGTATCAAAAGTTGAACCTACTATGAATATTTTTCTCCAACCTTTTGTAGAACAAGCTAACAAGTTATCGGAAACATGATTTCAAATATCCATTGGAAGTACTGCGGTAACTATCAGGTTATATCCTTTAGCATGCTGTCTCGATTCAGTAGCACGTTGCGCTGTCTTAAATATGAAGAGATTCAATGGTATTTTTGGATGTACTTTCTGTGAGCATCCAACTATCGATATCAATGGAACACGAAAGTATGTTATGATGAAAAATGTTCCGAAAAAGAGAACAAACGAAAGCATTAAACAGCAAATGATTCTGGCTAACATAACAAAGCAAAATGTCATTGGAGTATGGGGTCCATCGTGTTTAATCAATTTGAAACATTTCGATCTTGTTAAAGACATGATAGTGGACTTTATGCACAATTCTTTGCTTGGCGTCACTGAATTATATACCGAGATTATAATGACACACTAAAGCAAAATACTATGTGGGATCTCCAGCAGCTATTTCCATAATCAACCAACGTTTATTGTCAACGAAACCTCCAACATGTATTGGCAAAGTACCTCGAAGTATAAATAAAAGAAACAATTGGAAGGCTTCCGAATGGCTTTTTTGGCTGTTATACTACGCTTTACCGTGTTTAAACGGATTGTTGCCTAGGAAATATTTTTGTCACCTAGCAATTTTTGCGACAGCAATGAACATACTTCTTCAAGAAAGCATATCGTTGGAGGAATTAGAAACTGCTTATAAGTTATTAGTGAAATTTGTTTTTTATTTTGGTGAATACTTTGGCAATGGGTATATGCACTACAACGTGCATTTACTTTTACATATATGTGACACTGTAAGAAATTGGGGGCCGTTATGGTGTATTAATACTTTTCCGTTCGAAAACCACAATAAAAACTTACTACGAATGCAAAAAGGAAACTGCCATATAGGGAAAGAAATAGTGATCAGAATCTTAACATACCAGCAGATTCCTCAATTAGAATCCAACATTGTAATAACTCAACGAACGAAAAAATTTTGCGATCAATTACGTAGTAATCACCCAAAAAAAGTACATGAAATTGATAACTGTGTGTTAGTAAGAGTTGGAAAACAGACCGTACTTAGCGACGAAGAAAATATGTGTCTCAGGAATTATATAAATATTGATAAAGTAAACGATATTAAGAAGTGTAAGACCATTGTATATAAAAATTTAAGGTATACCACATATTTGTACTCCAAAGGAAAAAAAACAAACGATTCTGTGATTGAGACTACAGATAACCGTTTTGGTATTATTACTGCTATTTGATCGAACATGATAGTAAACGTGATGTATTTGTATTTTTTAAACAATTAAGCCTTTCAACAACGTCAATTTTAGAAGATGACCTTCGAGAAATTGTCAATTTAAAAGAAATGTCACTTACTTCAAATAATATTCACTGTATAACATGTTCAATGTTGTATAAACCTTGTATTGTCAGTAAAAGTAAAAATAAGTTTTACATAAGTAAACTTGTAAAAGGCTCGATTGCAAATTGCATAAACTGATATGTCTATAGTTTTATGTATTCATATAGTAAAGATAATAAAATTTACAATAATAATATATAGATGTGAATAAACGAAATAATTATCAACTTACCTGCTTCTTAAAATATCTCCTTTTATATAAATAATAAGGATAATGAACAGTAACTACAATTTCCAACTTTTTTTTTACTTATAACAGTTAATAATTATGAATAACTGTTTTAAACAGTTCATTGCTTTACAAAAAAAAAATTTTTAGGAGAAAAATGAAAACCTGCTAATAAATGTTAATAATAAAAAATAACTGTTATTGCTAATATCATACATTTGCATATAAGTTTGTAACCATATTGTGGCAGGGAATTTCGGGGGGTTTGACCGCGCTCCGAGTTCTTCCGCCAGAAGGCCTGTTTGGCTCTACCCCCGATTATTTAGGGCGCCAGACCGTCGGCTGATTACGGCGATCGTCGGGGGTAAGGCCAGTCGGGTTACGCGTATCCCGGTCTGCCTAACGGCGACTGCGCAGAGTGGGCAGATGGGGGGAATACGCGTTATGTCCTAACTTCAGGCCTTTGGCGTCCAACTTTCCTTCGATTTCTCCTTAATTAGAGTACGCCGGCAGCTCAGATGATGACTCCTTAAGTCAGGTCGTGAGGACGTTCGAAGTCGCGCGTATTTTACCTAACGAATAATCCGAAAATATAGCGAATTAATGAAACCCGTATGTAACCGCTCGCGGCTGAAAATCGCTAGCATGCAACAGGGGTAGGTTATCCAGTAAATTATATATATATATAAATATAAAGATAATTAATCGTTTTATTGATGCATTAAAATTTTTCACATACGAGGTCGGAATAAATATGGTCGGTAAAATTCTGAGTTTTCATTAATCCCTAAGATACAATTTAAACGGTTCCTAAAATGGCGGAAAGGTCAGCGCGAGTAACAAATCGCAATTTTCTTTTATAAGACCTAACGCTCAAATTCAGTTTGCGAAATGGCGGAAAGGTCAGCACAACTAATTAGTCAAAACAATTTAATTCAATTGAACCTACGTTCGTACTAAGTAACTAACACAAGGTCAGCGCGAATACTAAATTGTAATTTTCTTTTGTAAGACGAAACTTAATAAACGTTGACGAAAGGTCAGCGCGAATACCAAGTAGCGATTTTCTTTCATAAAACGAACACTTAATATAAGTCGACGAAAGGTCAGCGCGAATACTAAGTCGCGATTCTCTCTCGTAACCGAACACTTAATAGAGTTGACGAAAGGTCAGCACGAATACTAAGTCGCGATTTCTCTCGTAACCGAACACTCAATTTATTTTCACGGAATGGCGGACAGGTCAGCACGATCCGGTAGGCACCGGCGTCGACGGATCCACGCGTCGCGACGACCTACGGCACTGAACGATTGATCCCCGCACTCCGCGATTAATTAAAAATAAGTGGCACTTTGCCTACTTACAAATTTTCCTTGCGGTATTAGCAAACAAAATTGGCGGGAGGAGTATGACTGGCGTCTAGCGCTAATAATCGACAGCGAGATTAGCTGATAGAGAGAGGCTCCTTCCTTGCGGATATCCAGTGGCAAAATGGACGAGAATCGGCTTCTCGCGGTCAAAGATCGTTTCTCTTCTCCTCTTTCCGAGAAGAAATGTTATTATTGGTCGGTATGCTAATTCGGATATCGGTAGCGCCCTCCGAATTTTTATCATTGGTCCGTATGTAAATTAGAATAATACAGCGCCCTCCTTAACTCTCTCTCACCCCCCACTAAGGTATCTATCATTAATTGTCGGAAAAGATCTACCCCTACTCTTATCTATTCGTCTATACGGACGGAAATCAAATTTTATTCTAATTTGCCTATTGGTCGTGACGTCACTAGCGAATTTTGTCAGATGTTCGAATTCGGTTAGTTAAATTATCATTTAAACCTAAAGGGGGTAGTTGTCGCTCGCCATCATAATAGGGGTGTCGGTCGCGTGCGAATTTTACAATTCTATATTTGTTTCGTGTTCATCATTTTTAATTTATAATTTTAATTTTAATATCGGAGATACGTATATAATATACGCCGTTTCATTTGTAGCGCCCTCATCTTCGCATTTACATATTTTTCTATTATTTTATATCGTCTGTCTCGCTCGCTCTTGTTTCGTCTATTTCGCTCGCTCTGTCTCGCTCGCTCTGTCTTAGTCTGTCTCGCTCGCTCTTGTTTAGTCTGCTTCGCTCGCTCTGTCTCGCTCGCTCTGTCTCAGTCTGTCTCGCTCGCTCGCTCTCAGTCTATATCGGCGCTTCAAGATGGCCGCTCAGTTTCTCGCGCGTACGCCTCGTGTCCTTGCGCCGGTTGTTGGAGCGCCTCCTGGGGCGCTCCCGTGTCGGTTCTGTGGTGTTGTTCCGGGTGTTTGTGTGTGTGGTCGCTGATTTTCGTGTGTGTGGCGCTCAGGATGTCGCCGATGGTGTTCGGCAGCCCGACACAGCTGATTGCCGGCTGCCACTTCATCGGCGATTTTCTGCTCGCCCCAGGAGTGTCAGTGCCTCGTGAGTGTTCGTGTTGATGTCTGGGAGTGTAACGGATCTGCATGTGTCATCAACATGCATCTCCGTTGCATTTCCCAGTCAGGTTTTGCATTTTTCTTTTGCCGACCGGCAACACGTGGTCGGGAGTGTCTGTGAGTGAGTGTGTGCGTGCGCTCTCTTTTTCTGTGGTGCGCTCCTTTTTTTTCTGCTCTTTAAGCATCCGTCGGATCGCGTTGGGCAAGTTTGTTTCGCCCATATCTCCGGCGTGGTCATTCGGACATGGAATAGAATAATTGTTCGGTATAGGGCGTGTTTAGCTTTATTTTAAACAACCGGTTACGGGGCGGCAAGGGACGGGGATGGCCTTTCCGAGGTGTTGCAAATAATGCAGCACTCAGGAAAGGCCTTGTAATGTGCCACATTACAGAACCCCCCACTAAGCTGGTACACTACCACGTGTACCGCCAGTTTGCTTTATTCCCTTTTCTTGCCGTCTCGTTCTCAGTTATCGTCAGATATACCAAAATCTTACCTGGTGGGGTTGTCCCCCCTTGGTCCGTGATCTATTCTGGTCGGAGTCCGGTGTGTGCTGGGTCAGCTTGGCTGCATCCTCCCTTTTCCTTGGTCCGTGATCTATTCTGGTCGGAGTCCGGTGCGTGCTGTGTCAGTTTGGCTGCATCCTCCCTTTTCCTTGGTCCATTAAGTCCAGTGGCTGGGTCGGCAAGGAATCGGTCAGGAGGGGTTGAAAATGAATACGCAGGTTGGTCAGTTTAAGCCAGGGCTTGGCCCTGGCATTTATTGCGTATAATAATAAAAAAAAACTGGCGGTCCGTCGGTGGTCAATGATACCCACGCCTGCGGGAGCGATCGTGCCTCTCCATATCCTCCATCTCTTGGAGGGCGCGCTGGAGCTGTTGGAGCTCCCTCAGGCGTAGGTCCCGATCGTCCTCTTCGTCGGAGGTCCCGCGGTGGTGTGACCTCCGGAGCAGTTCTCTCGCTCGCTCCTCCGCCGATGGCCTGGCGGAAGAAGCGGAGGGTCCGGCGCGGGGTATCGCTCCGGTGTCAGCCGTCGGCCTCTCCCTCGATGGTCTTCCCCGGTATGGAGCTCGGCCCCGGGTTGCCTCCTGGTAGGACGGTGGAGGGTCCTCCGTCTCCCGGGGGTCCGAGCTCAGCTGGGCTGCCTGATCTTGGTGGCGGGGCTCGTATGTGGGGTTCCGGTCCCAACCGGACCCGGAAGAAGTGGACGCTGGTCTGTCCACTTCGTCCCACCTACTCCGTCGGCTAGTGGTCGGTCGAGGTCTCGGTGGAGGGATATCGTTCCTCACCGGGTTGTTCGAGCCCGAGGAGCCGTGTCGGCGGTGGTATGCCTCGGCACACCTCGGGCAATCGAAAACCTCGACCCCCCGCCGGCCACAATTTCCGCAGAACGTCCCCTCTTTGGAACGGGGACAGTTCCCGAAATTGTGGTCGGTCTGCCAGCAATTAAAGCATGCTCGGAGGGGGGGATCAACCGTCGGGTCGGTTGGGATCTCCCTCAGCTGCCCGAACCCAGTTCCGGTTCGGCGAGGGAGTCGACCCCAGGATGGTATCCTGGCCGCAGCAGCTGGTTGTGTTGCTGCGCGGCTGGTCGGGGGTCCAGGGAGGTCATCCTCCGATCCTTCGGAGGATAGATCTCCTGCACCCACCAGATCGTCCAGCTGCAGGTGGAGCCGCGGGTTGTACTTGCGGCGCTTGCCGCTGGCCGTCCGGTAGTGCAGGCCCTGGACTTCTGGACGGTCGACGTGATCCATCCTGGTTGTCGCTATTGGCCGGGTGGTGGTGGTCCGGCCAATTGGGGTCGAGGTCACAGGCAACCAGCCTGGGTGGCCTCGACTCCTTGAGGCCGACGGCTGGATGGTGGTGGAGGTTGATGGCCGGTCAGTGGCTGCGGTGGTGGATGGTCGGTGGCTGGTGTGTGGTCGGTCCGTGGCTATGGAGGTTGATGGTCGGTTGGTGGCTGCGGGGGTTGATGGCTGGTCGGTGGCTATTGGTGGTCGGTCGGTGGTTCTGGAGGTGGATGGTTGGTCGGCTGCGGGGGTTGATGGCTGGTCGGTGGTGCTGGTGGATGGTCGGTCGGCTGCGGTGGTGGATGGTCGGTGGCTGGTGCTGACGGACGGCTGGGCGGTGGTGGCGGAGATGGTGGAGGTGGACGGTTTTACTGTCCCTGGGCGTCGGAGTGAAGGGGGCGGAGTCGGTGGTCCAGTTGGTTGGGGGTTGATGGTCTCCCCCTTCCTAGCTGGCACCGACTCCGTTCCCCTGCCCAGGTAGTCCTCCAGCTCCTTCTCCGCTTGCCCATCTAGGGACAGCTGGGACCCCTTTGAGGTGTCCGAACAATGGGATTTTAAGGTCCCATGTTCGGACAGAGTCTCAGCTGTCCTGCCGTCCGTCTGGTCCGTTTCCATCTCCTCCCGGATGGCGCGGACCACCTCCATTCGCCGGCGTTCCTCACGCCTCCAGTCCGACTCAGGGATGCGGGCCTGGAACGTGAGGGCCCAGCGAAGGAGGCGCTCCCTCTCTTGGCCCTCCGGGAGTGGTTGTGGTGGCTCCTCCGGTTCCGCCACTTCCATGGCCTCCAGGCGAGTCTTCTCCTGCTCGATTTCTTCCACCATGTCCTGGATATACCAGGCCGACGGGTCTTCTGTCGGGGGGGGGGGGGGGGGGCTCGATGATGGGCTGAGCCCCTACCTTTTCCTGGTATCCAGGCATGGTGGCCAGTGCCTGCAGGCGAAGGCTCTCCTCATGGCGGTCAGTCTCCGGGGCCTGAGCTGGTGTGGCTTCCCGCTTCCTGGTCCCCGTGATGGTCCTGGGGACGGCGGACAGCGGGATCTTCACTGTAAGACTCAGGCCCTTCTTCTTTGCTATAAGGATCCTTGGGGCCATGGTAGATCTGAAAATTAAACAGGTTAGTGCAACGGTCTGTAGGGCAGTATCGGGACAGTACAGTGCATGCACTTATCTGCTGAGGGGCGTAGCTTAGTCGACGACTACACCCCCCACTAAGCCTGGAGAGGCTAGCCTGTCCAGGCGTGGGACAGCACATCTAGAGGTCAAATACCAATTGCCGCGTAACTATTCCCCACGCCACAACCGTTTTAGTACGCGAGTTAAACCTATAAGTCGGACAACACAGGGTAAGGTCAGATCGGTCAGATTATCTATGTTCTCTTCATTTTAGTTTTATCTAAGGTCATAATTATTTTTGTCAGGGTTCTTGAAAGGTTTCAGTTGTTCAATATGAACTTTACCAACTTTTTTCTTTGTCAGTGTCTCGATGGTAAATACTGTGTCTGAGAGTTTATCTAGCAATTTGAAAGGTCCTTCATATTTTTCGCTTAATTTGGTCGAAAACTTATTTGCTGCATTCAATAGGTGATGTGTTTTGATCAATACTAGGTCTCCGGTTTTATTTTCGGTCAACTTTCTTCCAGTATTAAATCGGTCAGCCATTTTCTCATGCTTTATCTCTAGGTTCCTTTCAACTAGTTCATATAGGTCTTTTAATCTTTTAAGCCTTTCTGTCCATTCTTCTGGTTCTAGTGTCAGTTCTAGTTCGTTTGATTCTACTTTTCTCCGTAAACTTTTTATTAGTTTCGGTTGTCTGCCGTAATTCAGGAATGCTGGGGATGTTTGAGTAGCTGATTGTATTGCCGTGTTCATGGTGTGTCGGAACTCATTAATATGTTTATCCCAATTCCTGTGGTCATTTTCAACGAACATTGCTATCATAGTTTTAATCGTTCTATTACTTCTTTCGACGGGGTTAGCTTGTGGATGATATGGGACTGTCGTGTTGTGTCTGATACCGTATTCCTGTAACATGCCGTCTAAGTGTTTATTGACGTATTCTTTCCCATTGTCGGTCAGTATGTAGTCAGGTGTTTCCCATCTGAATATGACGAGTTCTTCTAATGCTTTCGCAACGTTTTTCCCGTCTGCAGAGCGTACTGGTTTCATTTCTACCCATCGTGTGAAGAGGTCTTGGAAAACTAAGAGGTATTTATTTTGCGTTTTGCTTCGGGGAAATTCCATTGTGTCAATTGCTACTATTGCCCATGGTCGGTCTATTTTCCGTGGTTTCATAAGGCCTTGTTGACCTAGTTGGCTGGATTTATATCTTTGACATAGCGGACATCTTGTGACGAAGTTGTAAGTGTCAGTGTACATTCCTCGCCAGTAATATTCGGTACCAATTCTCGTATACGTTTTCTCTATGCCCAAATGTCCCGCTACCGGAAGGCAGTGTGCGTTTTTCATGATTTCCATTTGGTATTCGTCAGGTACTACCAGTTTCCCTCCCGTTTCTCCATTTGTTAACGGGTCCATAATCGGGTCTGGTCTGTTGTAGTATAGCATGTCATCTTCGATTTTCCAGTCAGGGTATTTGTCTGGTTTTTCTTTTACGTCTCTGCGTTTTTTCAGGTACCAGTTGTCTTGTACTGTGCTGAAGGCTGCGATTTTGTTAGTCTCTTCTTCCATTCGTGACAGGGCATCAGGTACTTTATGCATCGTGCCTTTACGATGTTTGAAGGTCACGCGTTCTTGCATCAGGTCGCATATCCATTTTCCTAATCTACCTTTTGGTTCTTTTATGTTAAATAGGTATATTAGTGCTGAGTGGTCAGTAATAACTGTATAGTCATATCCTTCAAGGTACGGTCTTAGTTTCTTGATAGCATATACTATTGATAATAACTCTTTCTCCGTTACTGAGTAATTTCTTTCTGGTCCGGTCAGTGTTCTGCTAATATACGCTATTGGATGTTCGCCATCATCGAAGTTTTGAGTCAATACGGCACCAATTGCAAAATCGCTTGCATCTGTCTGAACCGTGAAAGGTCGGGCGAAGTCTGGTCTTGCTAATACTGGAGCTTCTGTTAATGCTCGTTTCAGCTTTTCGAATGCTTCTTGTTGGTCAGTTTCCCAGTTGAATACTTGATGCTTCTTTAGAAGTTTTTGTAACGGTACCTTTATTTCCGAACAATTTTTTATGAATCTTGAGTACCATTCGACCATTCCCAGGAAGCTACGTAGTTGTTTTACCGTTTTGGGTACTGGAAATTCTAGTACTGTTTTAGTCCGGTCTGGGTCAGGTCGTAGTCCTTCTTGGTCTAGCAGGAAACCTAAGTAATTTAAACGAGTACAGCCGAATTCGCATTTTTTTGCGTTTATCTGCAGTCCAGCTTCATTAATTCGGCGTAGTACTAATTCTAAATATTTGGTATGTTCATCGAAGGTCTCCGTTGCTATAATAATGTCATCAAGGTATGGAAATACTTGAGGTTCCCAGTCAGGTCCAAATAATGCGTCAGCTAATCGTTGAAAGGTCGCTGGGGCATTGACGAGTCCGAATGGCATAACTATGAACTCCCACAATCCTTCACCTGGGCTTGCAAAAGCTGTGTATTCGCAGCTGTTTTCATCTAGGGCTACTTGGAAGTAGGCCTGTTTAAGGTCAATTTTGCTAATATATTTGGCGTGCCGTAATTTGTCTAATATTGAATCCATGTTAGGCAGTGGATATGCGTCTTTCCTTGTAACCTTATTCAAATCGCGAAAGTCAATGCAGAATCTCCAGGAACCGTCAGGTTTCCTTATCATTACTGGGGCACTACGCCATGCACTTTTGGACGGTCGGATAATGCCCATTTCGTACATTTTCCTTATTTCAGTTCGTACTATTTTTTGTATTGCGGGTGACATTCATCGTAGACCTTGTCTTATTGGTTGGCTATCACCTACATCTATTATGTGCTTTACTATCGGTGTTCTTCCTAGTTTGTCAGTCATAGGTGGTATTAAACGATCCGTTATTTCTTTGATTCGTTTAGTTTGGTCAGGTGTAATTTCTGTGAGGCCAGCGCATTCTGCGTAGAAAGCTTCTCGTTGTGTCGGTTGTCTAGGTTGTAGATGATGCCATTTACCATTATGTACTCTCCATTTTCTTTCTCGGAAGAGTATAAGCATGTTCCATTGTGTCAGAAAGTCTAGACCTAAGATAATTGGCGGTCCAGGTAGGTTTTTCATTGCCTTAAATCTAAATTTCTGTGTATGTCCATCGAAATCAATCTGTAGGGGAAGTTCACCTATGGTTTTCTCGGTTTTTCCCGTGATTCCTTGGATTGTAGTGGAACTAGGCGTTAGTCTTTCTTTGAATCTGTCTGTTATTTCCGGTCCTACTAGTGAGAGTTCTGCTCCTGAGTCAACTAGGGCGTCATATGCTATATTACCAATAATAATCGGTATGAAACACCTACTGTCTGAGCTTAACCTTCCTATCGACTGTGGAGGTGCGGTCAATATCGCTGTCTTGCTTTTGTCTTTAGTCTCATCTAAAGCTTTCTGTTGTTTTTTATCAGGTTCCTTAGCTGCTGGTAGGTCTGATTGTGAGGGTATTGTCAGTTCTTTGTCTATTGTTTGTATTATCTCTTCCTTGTCTAGGAATTTCACGGTTTTTATTATTCCTTTAGGCATTCCTTCAGGTTGTTTTTCAGGTGTAGCAGTATCTATTTTGTCTGGGAGTTCTATTATTTGGTCTGTTATTGTTGGAATCTGATGGTCAATGTTGTTCATTACTATTACTTTTTCAGCTGGTGGGAATGTTAGGTTTTCCACTGACTGTTCGCTGTTTTGTATTTCCCCATCCATGTCAAATAGTAACGTCTCTTGATCCTTGAGGCGTTTTAGTAACTTATTGAGTGGTTCATCATCAATCCAGGATAATTCTTGTCCATTTATTGGAGTGGTATGTCTGTCGGTGCAGTCTTCATCCTCCTCTGATGTCTGGTTGTTTATCCCTTTATTGTCATCTGATGATATGTCCCATATTGGGCGAGTATTTTCTTCTGAGTCCGTATCAATTTCTATATGGGAGGCCATTTTCATGGTTATTTCCCCTATGTGGTCATGTTGGCCCATTATTGGGAATCGGGGGGAAGCAGTGGGCTCGTCTGCTCCCCACCTAGCGCGTTTCCCAACAACTCAGAACGGATATGTTGGCAAAATTTGCAAAAGTCAAAAGGCGAGCCTATGTTTTTACAAACTTGGCAATGTGTCTGTCTTATTCTTGGTCCTGTTTTTGGGAATAAAGATTCTCTTTTTGGGCAGGATGCTGCATAATGACCTGGTTGGTAACAGAAGAAACAAGGGTTCTTTGGGCATTGTCGGTAGTTATGATCACCTTGGCAGCATTTGCATGGTTCTCTATTTTGTCTGTCGGTCTGATTATCATTATTCATTGTATTATCATTATCTGTTTGATTGTTTTGGAATGGTATCAGTGAGGGCAGATTCCATCTTGTTTCCACTCCATTCGATGTCGGTATTTGTTGACCTTGGCTGTAATTTTGTCTCTGTTGGTTCCGGTAATTTATTCTGTCATTAGTCTGATTGTTATTTGCTGTCTGTGATTTTTCTTGGCTTGTCCATGGTCGTTCTTGTTTGACTGGTGGGAAGCCCAAGTATTGGTGAGGTCCTTGGTATGCTGCAATTTGTGCCATCATGGGTGTAGCATATATATTTCCTTGCTTGGTCTGTTGTTGTATATTATTTGTCTTGTCTTTTCTATTATTATTTTGAGGGTTTTCACGTGTATTGTCAGGTTTTGTTTCAA